CAGCAGAAGATTGGTCTAAGGAGTGAACCTTGCCTTCAAACTTCTCGACATGTTGTTGGACTGATTGCTCAACGCCAGTGAGGTTTACATTCGCACTTGCCTGAGTGTCGATGTGTCACTGGTAGAGGATCGTTTTTTTTCTCCATATCCTCAATCGACAAGATGAATTGTGAAGGCAGCACATCGTGGGTCAGAATGCGTTCACTCGAGACCTTTTCACCACCTCCGGGCCAGCGTTCCTTGCTATATTCCACCCCAAAATTCGGCTTGGCCCTGTGGCGTTAGGAGCTTTTTCAAATTCCGAAACATCCAAGACCCAGCGGCTTTAGCCGTTTTGAAAATCTGCCAGCAACAAGGCGCCAGAAAGTGTTCCATGGAAAACATGTATGGGGAAGAACAGTCACTCCAAAGAATTTCCTTCGCGCATGGCTCATGTGAGCTGACAGAGTTGTGATAGTATTTTGTAGCAAGTTCCGCCCCTTCTACGTTCCCCACAGCTAGGACGAGGAAAGGGGTGCCAAGTTGGGCGCAAGAGAGGATGCGGAGGCTTTGGATTACCTCGCAGGAGGAATCTTGCAGGGACTCGTCATGGCTCTTCAATGCGGTTCAGCTCCGAACATCGTCAAACATTGTACAGCTTTGAGGCTTTGAAGAGCAAATCTCGCTTCTCTCGCTGTTACCTGACCGCAGATCTCGCATGATTTCTATCACCAAGGAGATGAAACAAATGAAACAACCGTGACGGAACTACCCGGGGTGGCAGCCGTGATGCTGTGCCTCCAGAGCTCGGTGTTGTGAAACCAGCGGGGTGCGCTCTTGCAAAGCTGTTGTTCCCGTGCATCCATCCAGTGTGTTGGACGTGCTCTCTGCTGATCTTGAGGACAATCAGGAAGGTGATGTAGTTCTGTGCCTTTGCGCATTTTCAAATTGCAAACCAGCTCGAGAGCTGATGAAATCAATGCCAGGAAGGTTTCCACATCATTCGCCCATGGTTTCGATTGATATCCCGTGTTTCGACCTAGACTACCTTCATCTGAGCACAAAATGACAGTCCCGTCGGCCTCCGGTCAGTCACCTTCAGTCCGCAGTCGGCATCCTCACCAACAGTTTTTTCAATCAAGATCTACCCTGTTGAAACAATCATAGAAATAGAAATCATGAAAGTGGAACCCTGTTTCACTCTCCAGGGGCCTCATTTTCCATGCCCTGCTTTGCGGTAGGTAGGATAGACCCAGATGTCTTCGGAGCGTGACCAGTGCATGATTCGCAGGGGCTAAGAGACAGTAAACGACATTCTTTCATTTCTAGAAGTCGCATGACTGAGAGATAAGAATGCCTTGCTTCCCACCTTTGAAATGGGTGAGTGCTGCATGTGCAAAAGACCGTCCTCTGCATTCGAGCTGACGCTCTACTAGGCCAAGGAAGCAGCCCCAGAAGCTAGCACAGGCCGTGGACGCAAGCCCCACAGCATTTTGAAGAAATTCGCAGTATTTTGGGATGATGAAAAGTGGCTGCGGGGCTATGCCGGACTGGATAATGAAGATTTCACCTAATTGTTGGCCGGAGCATTGTGCTGAGCAGAAGAAACACAGGTCCCTTGGCTAAGCAATGCAACACACAAAGCCAAGCGCCACAGCACAAAGGGAGGACTGAGGAGAGGTGGTGAAGCCTATGTGCGCCTTGATGGCTAGTAAAGAAAGGGTCCCAGCTGGAAACTGCAAGCGGTATGTTCACATAATGCCCCAAGCTTTTTGTTGATGCATTTGTTGGCGCAATGACATTCGGTGCACCATACCCGGCAGCGCCCAGAGCCCGCAGATTTCTTTACAAAATTAGAAGCCGCTAAGGCGAGAACTTTGTTTTGCAAGCCGCAGGCCCAGAGATGTCACGGTATCTTCCGACACAAGATATAGCTTCGCCAGGGTTGTAGATCTTTGCTTGGACGTGGGACTAACATCCCAAAGGACATGTTTGGAATTTTTCCCGTTTGGGCTTGTTTGTCTCATGATGCGTGTAGTTGTGCGTGGAGAGCTCATGATGGCTCTGCAGATTCGGCCGGCAAGGAGGGGTTTGGGTTGAGACCTGTTGAGACCGAATGCGGCTGTGCAAGGTCGGAGGAGATGACCCACAGCTCCTGTCAAATTAATGTCACCAAGTAGCGCCTTTTGATACGGAAAGCCAATTCAGTTGCTGCTGGTTGATTTGGATTATGGCCATGGAACCTGCTCTCGATCTTTGTTGAGACAAAGTGTGTCGTTTTTTATTTGCAAACACGATAGTGCAAGCAACTGCAACGCGCATCAGCATCTCACCCCCAAATGTTTTCGCAGCCACATCAAGAAGAACATGCATAAGTTTGTTGTCTAATCAACAGATTTGGTAAGTTTTGATTTGGAGTGTCAGTGCCCATGTAGGCTTTGTCTAAAGCCCCCGAATTGATTAGGAACGTCATGATGCCGATTGAGCGAAAGGGGACGCCATGCGCGAGTTGTAAAACACATTTTCGGCACTTCAGCCCAGACGATGTTGAATGCTTTGGGGGGCTCAAGCCATCTCAGACGTACTGTGCATCGGTTAGGCCAGGGAGCGGAGGAATGTGGAATGCTAGATGTGAAAGGCTTGGGATCCGGCATTTCTTGGCTGATTTCAACTGTTTCCTCCCATTTTTTCTGCATGCTGGCCGCGAGAACTTTTGCCGTTTTGGTGACGTAGTTATTTTTCCGTTCATCCCCAAAAGCAAAGTGTCTGTTGTTCGTTTCCTTGGCTGTGTCGCTTGGCTCTCCCGACCGGCGCTGTTGACAGTGATGGCTGCTCCGCTGGCAATTTGGGCAAGGGCAATGTGTTTTTGTAGAAACTGTTTATGGGCATGAAGAAATGCAGCTGCTTGCCCCAAAGATGGGAAAGAACTGGTGCTTCCAAGCATGCCGACGGATTCTGGCAATTTCGTGCGCAGGCGGGATTCAGCCTTTGATGTAAACCGACAGGTTTGGTGCTGTCTGGCACACCTTTGCCATGCCAGGGGCGCCGGGCCGTCTTATGATGTTCTTTGTGCGAGGACGCTGTTTCCTTCACTGCAAAGTTGTTGGTAGAGCTTCAAATGTGCCTGCAATATAGGCAGCATGGTGTGTGTGTGTGTAAGCATGTTGAAGGATGCAGCTTGTTTGGGGGGCGGGTGGCTGGTGTCACACAAAGCATGGTGGTCTTTGGTCTGTCTGCCACAGAAGATCATGCTCCCCCATCAGGCAATGTGATGATGACAGTAGAGCTCAAAAGGCGGGCTTCAACAGCACAATACTTGCGATAGCTAAAAAACTTATTGGCGAAAAAAGGGCAAAAGCGCGGCGAGAGCTAAGTTGACAGACACCGTTGCGAAGGCTTCGCGAAAGGGGACGCCATGCGCGAGTTGTAAAACACATTTTCGGCACTTCAGCCCAGACGATGTTGAATGCTTTGGGGGGCTCAAGCCATCTCAGACGTACTGTGCATCGGTTAGGCCAGGGAGCGGAGGAATGTGGAATGCTAGATGTGAAAGGCTTGGGATCCGGCATTTCTTGGCTGATTTCAACTGTTTCCTCCCTTTTTTCTGCATGCTGGCCGCGAGAACTTTTGCCGTTTTGGTGACGTAGTTATTTTTCCGTTCATCCCCAAAAGCAAAGTGTCTGTTGTTCGTTTCCTTGGCTGTGTCGCTTGGCTCTCCCGACCGGCGCTGTTGACAGTTGGCGATTTCACTAGGTTGCCAGGGAAAGCCATGTTAGCTGAGATTCAGAACACGCAAACCAAAAGATTGCGGTGACAACGATGCAGAGTTCACAATGGCTTTGCACTGCCGCTCATGTTTTCGCAGAGCATCTTGCACCTGCACTGTCTGCTGCAGGGGGTTCAATCAAACGTAGACTAGTCGCTCTGTCCCCGCTTCCCAAAGCCACCTGAGTTATGTTCCCCGCGTTCTGTGGTGAGAAGGTGCCTGCAACATAGGCGGCGTGGTGTGTGTAAGCATGTTGAAGGATGCAGCCTGTTTGGGGGGCGGGTGGCTGGTGCCACATCGCACCAGCTCACCACGTGTCTTACCTGCTTTAAAACTTGAAAAACATGAGCATGAGCTCCATTGGCTGAAGTCGTTCGTCAAGAATCACCTGTGACCTCCAGCCGTCTCTGCTGGATTAAGGACAATTAATAGCTTATTTGCGGGCGGCGCTCCTAGTAGTAGGATTTGGGGTCGCAGAACGTATTTGCTGTGCTTTGGAAGCGCCAGGTAGACAGGCTGTTGGGGCAGCACGTTAGCCTGACATGACCTAACCTTCTGCCAGGTGTCGTCACCTTTGACAAGATTATATATCCCTTCCTTTTGAACCACGTTCCGACAGCCGTAAGAAGCCAACGCGTCGTTTCCCAGCCCAGCCCAATTTGGGAGTAGGAGTGTTCAAGTTGCACCTTTTGGAAGGCACTATTTAGCAGGTTCTAGATCCAAGTTGCATAATGCGACTGCGCTGCACATATAGACAGCGCTTTAATTCTGAGAGATGCTGGGCCCATGTTGGTCAGTCAGGAAATTAACCACTGACAAAATGGCCTGCTGCACACGTGGTAACAGGACGTGGGAAATGGATTTGTGTAGGGTAGTAGGGTCCACTCAAGGTAGGGGCAAGATGCTTGCTGAGGCGAGAAAGATAAGGAAGCGGTGCTTCCAGACACACCAGCAAACTCTAATTATGCAGAGGAGATGTGGGCTCCAGCCTTTAACGTAAACCGAGGGACTTTGCGCAGTCTTGCTTTGGTTTGCCATGTGGCCATGTGCGCCAGGCCGCTTTATCTTCATGATATAAATATACGGGCATTGCTTCCTTCACTACACAGTTCTTGGTAGACCTTGAAATATTTGGCATGGGCGCCAAGGCAACCAGAACCATTGACAAGATGGCCGTCGATGTTGTGCAGAGGGATGTTGTGCAGAGGCCTCTAGCCTGCGGCACCTTGCCATGGCCCAGCACGATATCGCACCAGCTTGACAGCGTGTCTTACCTGCCAAAAACTTTTGAACATGGCACGCTGCGTTTGTTGAAGCCGTTTGCCAGGAATTTCTGACCACCCACAGCCTTTTCTGGGTTAGAGCAACTGAAAATTACAAGCTTCCTGTGCGCCGCGTGCTTGGTAACAGGACGTGGGAAATGGATTTGTGTAGGGTAGTAGGGTCCACTCAAGGTAGGGGCAAGATGCTTGCTGAGGCGAGAAAGATAAGGAAGCGGTGCTTCCAGACACGATGATATAAGGGCATTGTTTCCCTCACTACACAGTTCTTGGTAGACCTTCAAATATTTGGCGTGGGCGCCAAGGTAACCAGAACCATTGACAAGATGGCCGTCGATGTTGTGCAGAGGGATGTTGTGCAGAGGCCTCTAGCCTGCGGCACCTTGCCATGGCCCAGCACGATATCGCACCAGCTTGACAGCGTGTCTTACCTGCCAAAAACTTTTGAACATGGCACGCTGCGTTTGTTGAAGCCGTTTGCCAGAAATTTCTGACCACCCACAGCCTTTTCTGGGTTAGAGCAACTGAAAATTACAAGCTTCCTGTGCGCCGCGTGCTTGGTAACAGGACGTGGGAAATGGATTTGTGTAGGGTCCACTCAAGGTAGGGGCAAGATGCTTGCTGAGGCGAGAAAGATAAGGAAGCGGTGCTTCCAGACACATCAGCAAACTCTAATTATGCAGAGGAGATGCGGGCTCCAGCCTTTAACGTAAACCGAGGGACTTTGCGCAGTCTTGCTTTGGTTTGCCATGTGGCCATGTGCGCCAGGCCGTTTTATCTTCATGATGATATAAATATAAGGGCATTGTTTCCTTCGCTACACAGTTCTTGGTAGACCTTCAAATATTTGGCGTGGGCGCCAAGGTAACCAGAACCATTGACAAGATGGCCGTCGATGTTGTGCAGAGGGATGTTGTGCAGAGGCCTCTAGCCTGCGGCACCTTGCCATGGCCCAGCAGGATATCGCACCAGCTTGACAGCGTGTCTTACCTGCTTTAAAACCTGAAAAACATGAGCATGAGCTCCATTGGCCGAAGTCGTTCGTCAAGAATCACCTGTGACCTCCCGCAGTCTCGGCTGCGTTAGGGAAAACTACAATCTCACAAAGTTCTTCGTGCTTGGTATGTAGATGCCGTTCAAGGTCATGACAAGATGGTTGCGAAGGGGCTATAAAGATTGGTGTCGGGAATATATAGGACTTGTTTTCTCCAGGCGCCCGGACTCTAATCACGTCGAGGATGGATGGACTTCAGCCGTTGAAGTAAGCCGAGGGACTTCGCGCAGTCCTGTGCTTCTCTGCCAATTGGGGTCAAATCAATACAAAGCCATCATGAATCCAAAATGTATTGACAGGTGCGAAAAAGACCACAACAGCCAATAATCAGATTCCTCAAGATTTAGTAGATCATGTGTCATCCTGCTGGCTGGCATGTATCAGCCCGTGTGGCCTGTGTGTAACATACAATGGCGGCGGTTGTCGGATTTGCATGCAGGCAGCCCAAGCCAGTTTTGCTAATGGATTTCCTGGATTTTGAGTGGAAGCAGTGCATGACAGGGTCCAAGTCCCAAAATGGACAATGAAGACAATAGCCAAGAACCCCAATCTGACCATGGAATTTTTGAAGGACACATTCTTCTCACAACCACGCGTTATTTCGAGATAGGTTGTTTTTTGCGATGGCAAATAAGAGTACCCCAGCATGCCGATGCGAGGTTTCCCTTGCTACCAGGTATGGATCAGGAGTGGGGTTACTTGTGCAGGGCCATTTGCTTGCCGATTCTTTTTGCAAATTAGCAGGGTTTGGTCGCTGGTGCCACTACTGAGATCAGCTTCTTTTGATAACCACTCACACAACCCATGGATTCCTGGATGACAGGAGGACCGCTCTTCAGAGTGCGAATCACAAACCACCCTGCCCCAAGAGAATTTGCTTGCAGTGCAAGAATCGAGAGCGAACCTTGATTGATTCCTGCCGGCCTGGCCTTGTTTTTGCACGTTGCGCAATGTACCGGGGTGCAACTATCACAGCTCTTGCGTACCAGTTCTTTGCTTCTTTTTGCCATGCAGAAGAAGACCATGGAGAGTGAAGAAGTTTCGGATAAGTTGTCCGCAGTAAGTAGCAAAGTCTTGTCGGAAAGTTGCAAATGAACCACTGGTGCCATTGAAGTTCGGCCTCGTTTGAGCTCTTGCACGGTGCTGTGCGCGCGTGTCTTGTCCAGAGGCTCCCAATAATCAAATCTTCTTGCGCCTGTAGGCTGTTCTTCGCCGCAAAGGACTTGAGGCTCAGCGCCTGACTGAGGTGCCGATAGATCCAGGACGATGGTTTTGGAATCAAGCTGGAACAATTTTTCTAGACGCCGCATTGTTGGGAAATGTTTGGCGCGTTGCCGCGCTGCACATAGCAGGGCTCTTGTGTAACAGTTCTTCTTTTTGCCGTGGAAAAGAAGACACTGTCGAGCGAAGAAGGTTCGAACTAGTTTTTTGTGGTATGGAACAACTGGTCAAGAAGTTGAACAGTGCGTTGACTCCACCATTCGCCAAAAGCCGAAGCCCTGGTTTTTGTAATTGCCGACGCGTTTGATGCAAGCAAGGCGGAATAGTGCGTATGGGCTTGCCGCATTTCCATTCCAGGCAGATGTGGCCATTTGAGCCAGTCCATTGCGACCCCCGTGCAAGCTACTTAGAGCGACGCGGCAAATTCCTGCGCGGTGCGGCAGTGAGTTGTACAGCATGAGCAGCGTAGCTTAGTGTGCAGGCTTTGCTTAATAAACTTCGACCGAAGACAGATTTGTGGGTGAGTCATCTGAGGGAGAAGTTTGGAAGCTGTCATTGAGATTGCGTGGCTCGCCTAGAACATATCCAGCAGATTTTTCTTTGTTGGAGTGTCAGGCTGAAATTCGTCGAGTCATAAAATGACGTCAAACAGACCAAAGATGCCAATGATTAGGGAAGGCTCAGTAGTGCTTGGATGTAAGTTTCGTTTGAATGTCACTTGAATGGGTGCATGCCAGATTGTCGCGTACAGAAAATGTTTAGTGTAAAGCAAATGCCTGTGTCCACCACCTAGCTTGTTTGCTTGGTGGAGGTTCTACTTGCAATCTCAGTGTAGCTAACTTGTGACTGGCAGTTCAAGCTCTTGCCGACAGACCGCTTGAAGACCAGCCACCGAATGACCACATGCTTTCCCTCGAAGTGCCAAAAATTTGACAAGCATGTAGCCAAGAGTGACACAGCCTTGGTTTGCCCTTGCTCGTTGAGATTTTGGCTGTGCGGTCACAACTCACACATGCTTGGCGAGGCAAGTGCAGGTGGATGAGTTTGCGCGGAAGGGTCTTGCTCAGGCAGGGAGCACTCAGATGCCATCTCTTCAAGGCAGAGGAAAGCTGTGGGGAAATGCCGTGCCTTTGACAGCTCGGTGCCCTTTCCAGGCGCTTCAGCAGGTTGCAGCCCGGGCAACCATTGCAATCAAAACCACCGCGTTTGTGCCTTTTAACTCCTTGCCGTTGATTTGGTGCAGCGATCAGATCCAACACACAAGAAGCAGGAGATGTCGGCGAAAGAAGCCCAAGCATCGAAGGGAGATGTTCTGGCAGCTTTACCGGCTACCTCCGACAGATATCGGTTCATATGGCGCTGCTTTTGTGCCAATGCTGAACTCAAAGAGCTCGTTCTTTGAAAACCGCGTGGCTTGCATCGTCAAAGTTGCATGGGTGGAACTTTTCAAGGACCCGCGTGGTTTGCAGCTAGGCATTTCGAAAGCGCTGAAAGGCAAGCCATGTACAGTCTGTTTCCACAGGTTCCGGCGGTGTTTTTTTTTGGCCGCAAGCATATCAAGGAACCCCAAACTGTTGCATAGTAGGTTGGGTGTTTGGGATAAAAAGCAATGCTATTTCACGGCAGAGGTGTCCAATGTCGGCTGGGGCCCAGTAGCAGCTACAAGAGGAGAGCATTCTGGGCCGGGTGGGCATAGGAGCCTTCTGGAACAATCAGTTTCGCTTCGCTTTTCACTTCGCTTGCTGTCAAGCGTGTCGCAGAATTGCCCAGACCTTGGCTTTCGCCGCGCATTCCAACGGTCCCAGCTTCAAAAAACAATTCGCAACCAGTCTCTCTTCTGAACATCGGGGATGTCAGACTCCAGAAGGGCCAGTGGACTGGAGCCAGCTACAGCCTGCAGGCAGCGGGCATATTCATATCTAGCGATTTAGAGACTTGAATTTGACCAGGGACCCTGTTGTCAGGAGGTCCTTAAGTCTGGTGTTTTGATGCTTTATGAATAGTTTGTAAGCCTGCAACCCGGAGAAGACGGAAGCGCAAATTGTGCTTTTGCAGCTTCGAGTTCTGGACAGGGCCCGGCAGGTTTTTCGTGTTTTGGGGGTTTGGTGTTGCCGCATCAATTGTGCAAGCAAGAGCCAGGACGGTTGGATTTCAATTGGTGAAACATGTTTATGCGTGATTGATTTGGGCTTCGAATATTTCTGTAAGTGTCGGAATATGCAAATGTGAGTGTCCCATACGTTGTGCCGATACAGACTGATGTTCCACTGGCAGTGCAATGTTGCATCCAGGACCTTGGACAATAGTGAGCTGCGTGACGAGGCTCAGCTTTCATCTCTGGAGCGCAAAGAAACAGCAGCGCTGCAGCGTGCCCTTTGTGTGGTTGAATTGCTTGTCATCGCCGGGTCTGGATGGGTCTGGATGGGTCTGGCAAATCCCAGCCCCTTTGACTGGTGACTAGTAGTCGGGTCAGAGACTCTCTAGCTGTCTAGCTTCGTGCCCAAATTACATGTGCGGTCCATGCCGCAGCTAGTTGTGTATACAAGGCCATATCCGAACTGCCACTGACGCCATGCTCCTCATACTATCTGCCATTGCGGCTTCTGTTTCGAAAAACCTATGACCCAACCCCCGAACCCGACCGCGCATCACGTAAAAACACTTCAAGAACTTATTGCAACAGTCTTGTATACTCTTCCCCTGCTACTGTACCATTGGAGACAGTGAAGTGTGGAGGGGGGGAAGTTCAGGGTGTGGGGTGTCAAGTGTAGAAAGTATGGAGTGTGAGCTTTAATGTGGGGTGTACAGCGTAGAGTGTGATCGTATAGAATCGGAGAACACGTGTGCTGGAATAAGGGCCTGTTTTATATTGTCTCAATGTGTTTTGCGGGATTGAAAAACCCGGAGGCTGTGATTTCACAAGGAACCTGGGTGCTGTGATTTTGTATGATGCTATGGTCTTATTTGCGCTCCTCAACGTAGCCTGTGAGTCATGATTCTGTGTTGTGTGCTTTTTGTCTTGTCAAAACACCCTATGTAACCTGGGGGTCCTGGCTCTATAGGAGCATGCTCTTGATACCCTATGTAACCTGGCCTGCTTGTCCTTGGAGCTAGGCAAATCTGGTATAAAGGGCATGCTCTGCAGATTCTGGAACAGAGAGGGTATATCCAGACAAGAACTGCTGCACAGAGAGCAACGGCCACAAGCAGAGAGCAACGAACAGAGAGAGCTAACGCAGGTACACCGTCTGTGTGTGGCGAGGCTACTGAAAAGGTCCGTCCGGAAGCAAGTTTGAGGTTCTATTGCGGCGAGCCCCTTTTTGGAGGATCGAGGCCGCACACGGCACAAAAATAGGGGTCCAGCGGTAGAAGCAGATCAGCAAAAGAAGTAATCCAGTTTCCCAGAACAAAGGCGGAACTCAAGTTCAGGGCCTTGCGCTCTACCGACTGAGCGAGGCGGGCCCTGCATAAAGGCTATGCTCAGCGGATGGATCAACAAAGGCAGGATATCAGTAGACAACAACCGCCACACAGAGAAAGCCATGACCACGAGCCAACCAGCCTCTAAAGAGAGAGAAAGAGAGAACAAGACTACTTTTCTCTGCGCGGCAAGGCCAGCAGCCGCAAGATTGGCACAAGAGCCTCATTGGCGGAAAAATCACTATAGACCCAAGGCGGGCTCGAGCCTCCAATCTTCACGACTGAGCTGGGAAAACCTGGTCTAAAGGACGTGCTCTGCAAATAATGGAACAGAGGAGGTATATCCAGACAAGAACTGCCGCACAGATACCAACGGCCACAAGCAGAGAGCAAGGAACAGAGAGAGCTAACGCAGGTACACCGTCTGTGTGTGGCGAGGCTACTGAAAAGGTCCGTCCGGAAGCAAGTTTGAGGTTCTATTGCAGCGAGCCCCTTTTTGGAGGATCGAGGCCGCACACGGCACAAAAATAGGGGTCCAGCACCAGGAAAAAGGTGAAGGTCTGAGCTGAGGTGGCGGTGGGCCCTTTTTTGGAGGATCCAGGCCGCTCACGGCACAAAAAGGGGGCCAGCACCAGGAAAAAGGTGAAGGTCTGAGCTGAGGTGGCGGTGGGCCCCTTTTTGGAGGATCCAGGCCGCTCACGGCACAAAAAAAGGGGGGGCAGCACCAGGAAAAAGGTGAAGGTCTGAGCTGAGGTGGCGGTGGGCCCCTTTTTGGAGGATCCAGGCTGCTCACGCCACCAAAAGGGGTCCAACACCACGAAAATGAAAGGTATGTGTGGTTGTGGTTGTGGTTGTGGTTGTCGTTGTCGTTGTCGTTGTCGTTGTCGTTGTTCGTTGTTCGTTGTTCGTTGTTCGTTGTTCGTTGTTCGTTGTTCGTTGGTTGCTTGGTTGCTTGGTTGCTTGGTTGCTTGGTTGCTTGGTTGCTTGGTTGCTTGGTTGCTTGGTTGCTTGGTTGCTTGGTTGCTTGGTTGCTTGGTTGCTTGGTTGCTTGGTTGCTTGGTTGCTTGGTTGCTTGGTTGCTTGGTTGCTTTGTTGCTTTGTTGCTTTGTTGCTTTGTTGCTTTGTTGCTTTGTTGCTTTGTTGCTTTGTTGCTTTGTTGCTTTGTTGGCTTGTTGGTTTGTTGGTTTGTTGTTGTTGGTGTTGTTGTTGTTGTTGTTGTGGTTGTGGTTGTTGTTGTTGTTGTTGGTGG